CCCCAAAACCCCAAAACCCCAAAACCCCTAAGCTATCAATTTTTGACATAAAATGCATCATTAAATTAATTATTGGAAATAAAATATTATATTGTATTTTAATTATATTAATATCAAATAGCAGTAGTTCAGACTATTTATCAAAGTAAATATATGTCTGTAGAAATATCGATATATTTGCGATATAATCTATAATGAATCCTGGAAATCTATTTGTTGAATCTCACATCAAATAGAATTTTTTTCTTCTACTATCATCTTATATAGTTATTCAATGAAAACTTATCCTTCGATTAGTACTTTACTTCTTAAAAATTAATATGCCTTAACTGGTTAGAGTGTTAAGAGATTGATAATAATTACTAAGGCAGAGCTTTTTTTAGTAATAATTATTTTTCACAATGCTTATTCACATTTAATCTTGTTTAAATATTCCATACTTAGCAATATCGCTTTTAAATAGTTTGCATGTTTATCTTATCATTTAAACAGTTTAATTTTTCAATTCACTTCTTTAAATATCATAAAGTTCCCATACATGTATAAAAATATTATCAAATTCTAAAAATATACTTAACAACTTAGAAAAATGCAATGTCTACTAATTTTAAGAGTTCATTATGAATTTTTTGCTTTAAGATTTTATAAATGTATCAATTACTAGGTATAATTGCATATAAATGCAGAATAATTGTTTTATATAATCATTCAGTCTTATCATTAATCAATTCTAGAATACTCATCAGCTCCTATTTATTCCAAAATAATAAAATTTGACAAAATCAATTATTTACTACACCTTTTTTTTCTCGATATAATTCCAATCGTATATTTTTGATAACTTATTTTTTCAATCTCTACAATGCCAAGGAAAGTTTGACTAAAATCTTTCAAGATAACGCGCATTTTTACATTAGGTCCAATCTAAATTTATGTTATTGCAAAAATCTTTAGCTTTCAGGTCTCAATAGTTATTGGATCCTTTGTCTATTAATTTGATATTACTAGAGATATCTATAATTTATTTTATATTAAATGAATAAGATCTTACTATCAGCTGCTCTATTTATTGCACAATCTACTGCTATCTAAGTGAGTCAAGCTCTATAGAAAAGCAGAGCTGAAAGTGCTTGGAGACAAGAAGTAACCAACAAGTTCAGTTGGAATGCAACTTAAGAGCTTAATTGGTCAGTGATCAATGCCTTCATTGATGTCTAAACTTCCCCAGATGGCGATGTCTATGCCATTCAAAACATATCTTCAGAGTAGTCTACTCCCAAGTACTATGTTTACTTACATAATACCACTTCCAATGTGTGGACTTTAACTGATTCTACCTTCCAAGCAAAGGCTGTCAGATTCGACAGATTCGGAAATATTTTCTATCTTAGTGCAGATAATTGCGTCCAAAACTAAGAAAAAATATCTTTGGTGTGCGGAGTCAAAGACTTTGAGGTCACTGTCGACAAAAAGATCTATGGACTTAATGATGGTACAGGTATTCATACAACTGATACTCTGAATGGACAATGGAATATAGCCACCTCTGATACCTCATATTCTTATAAGGTTCTCGCTGGATACAAAGGAATTACATTGTTGAAAGATCAACCCATTTTTATTGCAGAAAATGGGTAAGTTGATTCCTAGTATGGCTCTGAAAAATTAATCTCTATAAGTGCTGGTATCGACGGTTCCTTGTGGGCGCTCCAAGAAGAGAATGGTGTGAAAGACTATCAATT